CGCTCATAGACAATTTAATAATTGTAAGGGGAACAATACTCTTGAACACTTTCCCTCTATACATAATGGGAATTGGCAACAACCCCCTAGCTGTCTTCAAGAGGTAAGTTAATATGTTCCGCAAGACACTCTTGAGCAGCCAGACTGTGATGTAACGTTGGTCGGCGTGCGACTTACACCAGCAGTCTTGTCGATCAGGGCAGCAACTATGAGCTCTTTTCTGGGACTGGGCCTTCGGGGGAGTGACCCCTGAACCGACTACAGGTAATAGAAATTGAAACTGCCCCCCCCCCATCGCCATTCAACTTAGATCTTCAGGGGGATTAACAATAGATCCCTGGCTGTCTTCAAGAGGGAGCTGGACAGGCACCTAAAGTCAGTACCTGACCAGCCGGGCTGTGGTTTGTACGTCGGTTTGCGTGTGACCAGCAGTAACAGTCTGGTTGATCGGACCTTGATCCACCGCGAGGCCTGGTCATGGAGTGGGTAACTTCCAGGTATACTTAAAGTATACGAGATAATCTGCAACGTATGTGAGGGTAACAAGTCAAGTGAAAAAGATAACTAGCAAGAAACATTGTTGTAGGTCAACTCTGTCACAAGGGTACTGAGAATACTTGTACATTCTCCACAACTCTAGTTACTGCTAACTTACCCTTGTTCTAGTGCTCGAATGTGTTTACTCAACATAAATTTAACTATAGCACGTGATCTCTAGCTTTCTTTGACGTATTGACATCTTTCTTGTGTCGATTCAATAGTTTTCCTCTGGTAAGGCCAGGTGGTTTTTTTTTCGTGTAATTGAAACTACATTTGATCATGTGGTTAAACTGTTACATATGTTGGAAGAAGGCAGTTTTTTTCTGAAGTCTGTGTAACAGCATATTTATGTACGACTAACTGTTTGTCCAAGCAACCCCCCCTTCCCTCATCTCTCCCAAGTACACTGAATTATAATTATTACACGGGATGCTGTAGACACTCAGTATCTAATAAGTGTAGTAGTGGTGGTGAGGAGAGTTGGACATCATCGGGGGTAGGGGGGGGGGGCTGGCGAGAGTGAAAACGACGCACTTGGGAAGCTAGTTAGGTCTTAGTGGATCATATTTTACCTGCTACCTCCCTTCCCTGCTGCTGCCTCACTCGCTTCCCTACTGTCTGCTTCCCTGGTGCTACTGCTTTACTCACTCCCCCACTGTCTGCTTCCCTGTTGCTGCCTCACTCCCCAACTGTCGGCTTCCCTGCTGCCTCTCTTCCCCCCCTTCCCGGCTGCTTCTCTTCCCCCCTTCCCGGCTGCCTCTCATCCCCTCTTCCCGGCTGCCTCTCATCCCCTCTTCCCGGCTGCCTCTCATCCCCTCTTCCCGGCTGCCTCTCATCCCCTCTTCCCGGCTGCCTCCCTCCCCCCTTCCCGGCTGCCTCCCTCCCCCTTCCCGGCTGCTCTCTCCCCCCTTCCCGGCTGCCTCCTTCTCCACCTTCCCGGCTGCCTCGCTCTTCCCTTCCCAGTTGCCTCCCCTGCTGGCTGGCACGCACCGTTCATTTCTCGTAAGTCTCATCCCTGGTAGGAATTTAAGATGGCGAAGCGCACGTTTGAAAATTGAATAGTGCAGAGAAAACCCCGAGAATGTTGTGGTCACCATAAGTTGTTGATGTTACTCTATGGTGTGTGGTGGGGGGGGGGGAGCATGTTGCAGTGTGGGGGAGGGTGTTGGGGAGCGTATTTCTGTGTTGGGGTATTGGGAGTGTTGTGTAGGTGAGGATGTTGGTGTTGGAACATTTTTTGTGTGTAATTGGAGGGTGAGTGGTAGTAATGCATTTCTTGCTGAGGAAAGGATGCCTCCTACATGCGTGGGAAGATTGTTTAGGGGAGTTTCCCTACGGTGTGTAGTTGAAGTTGGTTGCAAGGATTATTTCCTTACCTCACCCTGCTGTTATATCTCACACACTGATCCTCTGTAATGGAATATGGCAGGGAAGAGATTGTCATATAGAATATTGTAACAGCACACTGCTGATGTATCCAGTTTTGCTATATAAAAAATCGCACTCTGCAAGACTGCTCACTGAGCATGGGCCAGCACGCCAATTGGAATCCTCTATTTTTATGTTCTAAATACAACAAACTTTTCTTCATTATTTAATAGCGTCTTTATTATTCAGCTTAGCTTTACTAAACAGTGTGTTCTCGTTGTACATTAATTGTACTTAGTTAGGACATATTATATGTTATAATTGTCCAGTAATTAGCTAGTTGTACCAGGACTGGGTTTGTACCTGCCAAACTGCTAGTTTATTGGAGTATTGAGTTACCTCTGAAATATAGAATAAAACTTAGACGACTGTGACTTATGGATTCTCATTGCGGAAATGGACTAGTCCAGAAAGAATAATAAACTTTTGATAGAGAGGGAATTCACCAGAAGTGAAATACATGGCGAGTTATATTAGTGGGGGTGAAATTGCGGGGAATCGAAATATGTACCGCCAGAGTGGCAGATGAACCAGGCCAGCGGACCGCTACCAGGAACAGTCTAGCCTCAGGGCCATGTTGCGAACAATAACTCGAAATCGGTCACAGGTATGTTACACAGGTACGATTATGAAATTACCAGCAGCTGTGAAATATGTGGACAAATAAACCTATGGTATTTGTCGGCCACGTTTCATTAGTAGGTAGGGTGTTTCTCACCGATATGATTTCTGCGGTCGATCCTGTGCCCCCCTGACCCAGCCTCAGCCTTTTAATCTACTTCGACCAGCATTACTGGTTTCTGCCTTTTAAACCATGCCATACCTTTTTGTGAAATTTTATACTGAATTTTCCTTCCATTTTCTCACTCGATTTCTGTTCAGTTTGTATTGAAAATCGAACACTTACTTCAAAACTCTTTCAAACTCAGTCCCAAACGGAAGAATATAATAATTGCTACAAGAGCAGAGAAAGTTCCAGGAAGTAGTTTGAACGAGGTCATTTACAAATACATTGTTGGGACTGGAGGATAGATACAATTTCAACGCGGCAAATAGTGGAACTGATCAGATTAGAATATATTTTTTAACTTGTATTCATAAATAATGAGGATCGGGTATGTAACAACTGTCAAATAGAAAATTTGGACCACATTACAAGGAGTTCAGGCCTGAATTCTCGTGAGGATGTTTTCAGCAAAGTCAGTGTTAACAGTAAATGCATTAAATGGACCCAATAAACCGTGATTTCACCGAAATATGCCGGAATGCTGGTATGAGTAAGATGGAGCGGTCATCCTCTGAATGATACCAGTGGTACCATACATCCTCTGAATGATACCAGTGGTACCATACATCCTCTGAATGATACCAGTGGTACCATACATCGTCTGAATGATACCATTGGTACCTATTCAGAGGATGTATACGTTCACTGGCATTAACAGTGTGTTCCACACACGTATGTTTAAGAAAAAGAAAAGATGCAAGTTGGAAAGAAAGAGTTGCTCCCTTTTAAGAGCAAAATGAAGAAGCAAAGCTTTTCAAAGGTTCCAGACTAGAAACACTGGTTAGAGAAATGGAAAACATTGAACTCAGAATGAGTGCATCATACAGTCTAGGAGACAGAGGGAGCAAAAAGCCATTAATGAAACTGAACAAAACTTAAAATACTTTTTGGCCAATGCAAAATCCAGGGTAAAAATTTCATCCAATACTGGGCTCTGACCTGAAAGATGCTTCCAGGGGTCAGTGTCTCTGTGGCCCGGTCTCAGACTAGTCTTCCTGGTGGATCAAACCTGCTAAGTCAGGCCATTACTGCTGGCCACACACAGGCCAACGTGCAAACCACGGCCGAGTTGGTCAGGAACTGATTTGAAGAGCTTGTCAAATTCCCTCTTGAAGACAGCTAGAAGCTTGTTGGTAATTTCCCTTTTGCATGGAGAGGGCACTGAAAAGTCAGGGACCTCTGACACTTGTCAAGTTCTTTTTGTGTACTCGTCTTGCCCCAGCTTTTTATTGAAGGGAATGGTATAAGTTTCTGAAGTCAGTTTTTGATCAGCCGGACTGTATGCTACTAGCACCAACAGCCTGGCTGACAAGGTATTCAACCAGGAGACCTGGTGTGGGACAGGGCCAGAGAGGCAGTGGCTCTTTGAATTATCAAACAGGTAATTAACGGGCAAATTTTTATCGTTTGTTTTTGTATACAGACTACTTAACAAGAATTAAACAATTCCTCAAGACCTTATAAATACAAATCTGAATGTAATGTTCTCGGTGATTTCACTTTCTGATGTGTAACACTGTATTGCAGAGTAAACCCCAGTCAGTATTTTGAACGAACAGCCACAAATGAACACTTAATTATAACAAATTTGTCCTAAAAAAGTATACGCACTGAGAATGGAAGAATATCCATGACCTTAAATTGAAACATACCACAAATATGGTGGAGGATGTAATGGGGTCAAAGACATTGGACTTACCACAATATAATAGAGACTGTGACCTGCATAAACATCAGACCTAGGTATCCTAATGCAAACCATCACAAAAGTGACGAATTCAGTCAGTTTCAGCAGTTGTGATGTTACTCGTGAGTTCTCAATTATTATAGGAAGTGTTAAACCCAGTCAGTCACCTGGAACTCAAAAACCTATGGTCATACTGTCCCCAAGGACTGTATGACCATAGGGTCAATACAATACTTGGGAAAGGAAGGTTAATTAGATTTAATTAGAGGAAGAGGGGAGGTTATCTGTAGTTGATTCTTGTAGGGATAGCTCCAGTTCTTTATATCAAGAGTGATTCTCCAGTATCAAGGCACCTTCCTTGAGAGGTGGGAACTCTTGTGCATGACCTTGCCTTCTGTTCTTATAAGGACTAGTTTTAGTATATAGATCTGCAACATTTCCTCAAGTATGTTCCAGGTGTTAATGATAGATTTAATAAATGTTTGGATTTAAATATACTGTATATGTAGAATGTTGTAATATATGCAAGTGAACACTAAATCCATCGTGTTGTTTCAGTGTTGCTCAGTGAGAGTATAGACAAGAACGAGCTGCAGTTCAAGACACTGAAGATCACAGACTTTGGGTTGGCGCGAGAGGTGTCCAAGACCACCCGCATGTCTGCAGCTGGCACCTATGCCTGGATGGCACCAGAAGTCATCAAGACCTCCACCTTCTCTAAGGCTTCTGATGTCTGGAGGTCTGTGCATGCTAATATTGCTTACCTCTCTTGTGTATGCTGCTTCTCTCTTCATACTTCACACATGATCCTGCACCTCATTATTCCTCATTTCACTGCATGACCAAGCAACAAACATCACCCTAAAAGCCTCATTTTACATCGATCGGTTCTTACACATACCATCCTTTCTATTCTTCAGTTTCTTGCATGTAATTATGACTGCTTTACTTTCTTTTATCATGGGGTTGTTTACTGCAGTGGAATGTATGCTGTCTTAGGTTTTCACACTAATTTGCACTTCTTGATACAAAGATAAATTTGATCACGATGGGCTTGAGGAGTACCGTTTATGTTTCTGGGTTTGTAAATGTTGAAAATGTAGATATACAGTTACATGTATATTCTTATATGAAAGATAACTTATTTGTAAAGCATCATTGTCAGTGGACAGTCCATGTTTTTAGAAAGTTGCACAAGAAGAGGTGTATTGCTGAGAGCTTGATTCTTTTCAGTTGTGCATTTTATCTTAAGAATTGCTTGTAGACATCTCCCTAATTATCATCTTAGTATTATTCTTAAGTAGGATTTCTCCATTTCCCCAATGGTGCTTGCATGACTAGGAACCCAACATGTTGCTTGCAATATAAATGGTGGAAATATTCTCCTCTCATCATAATTTGCTTTGACTTATGGCCTATGATTTGAAATGAATCATGGATGTGATTAATGAAATGGGAATACAGTAATTGACTTTGAACTGCTTTGTCACTATCATTTCTGGAATATGACAGCTAATCAAAAAACATAAGTTAGTTAGTTGTGTGTTAGCAGAAAAGTGATTACAATGCCAACAATTGTTTGTTGAAAACACTGACTGACCAAACAGTTCTTGTGCTTTTCAAATAATACAAATTAATTCATTCAAAGTAAGAAAACAGAAGCAGCTGTTTTGCAGCTAAAATACCATTAACCCTTTCAGGGTCCAAACTGTAGATCTACACCATAAGCTCAGCTCACTCTGATAAGCTGTGAGTGGTAAATTTGGGCCTAGATATGAGAGAATACATCTATGTGGTATGTGTGCACCACATAAAACAAATCCTGCAGCACACAGTGTATAATGAGAGAAAAAACTGAGACCGTGATTTTCGATTAAAACAGCGACTTTGCAGTGTTTTTCGTATGTTTTTTATAGTTGTATTTGCGATTTCTTGGTCTCGTTTGATAGAATGTAAGACATATTACAGAAATAGAGATGATTTTGATTGGTTTTAGCACTGGAAATGGCTTGAAACTGAGCTCAAAGTAGTGGAAATGTTAAATTTTTGCCGATGTTCAAGAGTAAACAAACGACCTCACACATCTAATACATGCCAGCTGGTGGGTCTAATATACATTCACAAATGTGGTGATGATATTTATACAATTATTACAATATTGCATAACAGTAAATCTTCTATTTTTTGGTTTGAATAAAAATTCATTGTGAATAAAAAATCAAAATGGAATTCATTTGTAAAGCCTCAAAACGTAACTATTGAACAGAGAAAATGTTAGTTTAGTGCCAGGAATACCTGCATTGTTTATTCTGGACCCTATTTTTAAATTGGAATATTTTGAACTTTGTGTTAAATTGGCCAAATTACCAATTTTCGGTCACTTTATTTTGTAGTTGAAACAGTTGACTTGGCGATTTCTTGTGCTCAATCGATAGAATAGAAGGAATACTAGTGAAATAGCTAAGAATTTGGTCGACTGGAATAATGTAATTGGCCTAAAATAGGAGTCAAAGTCGGCAAAATCGCTGATTCGTAAATATCACTGACACATCAAAATTCGTGAGAGCATAATTTCGTCAGTTTTCCATCATATTTCATACGTTTTGTTTTATTACCTTCAGAAAAAGATTCTCTACAATTTCATAAGAAAAAATAACAAAATATTTTTTTGAAAATTCTTGGATACTGGTGTGCACTTTGAAATTTGGCCTCTGGACCCTGAAAGGGTTAAACATAATTTTATGTGCTTTTGTACCACATTTGCTTTAGTTTTTCTCTGAAAACATGAGCTGACACTTAACCTAATAATGTAAGGCCTGACCTGATAGTATCAGTCCCCTCCTTCCACTGCCAGTGTCAATAAGGACCAACAAACTTTTGATCAAGCTTAGGCATTGCAGACGTTTTGTTAAAGTTAGTCAGCATAACTCTCGAACCTACTTTGATTTTGGATGGCTTTGCTCGAGTGTTTGCGACTCTTGTAAATTCTGCTGTTGATTTATGAAGTGTTTCACGGATTCTTCTAAAAACACTTTGAGCTAAGCTGGTACGAGTTGCTATGAAATCATCAGGGTTGTAATTTGGTTTCGGATTAGAATATAGCAACTCATAAGGCAAACGTTTATCTACATCATACAATGCATAATGTGGAGTGTCACTTATAGAAACATTGTAAGCAGAATTTATAGCACACTGCACATCAGGTATAACTTCATCCCAAGTTTCACTGTTGGGATTGATAGTGGCTCTCAAGACATCAAGTACTTTCTTATTGGTTTTTTTTTTTTATTATTATTATCACACTGGCTGATTCCCACCAAGGCAGGGTGGCCCGAAAAAGAAAAACTTTCACCATCATTCACTCCATCACTGTCTTGCCAGAAGGGTGCTTTACACTACAGTTTTTAAACTGCAACATTAACACCCCTCCTTCAGAGTGCAGGCACTGTGCTTCCCATCTCCAGGACTCAAGTCCGGCCTGCCGGTTTCCCTGAACCCCTTCATAAATGTTACTTTGCTCACACTCCAACAGCACGTCAAGTATTAAAAACCATTTGTCTCCATTCACTCCTATCAAACACGCTCACGCATGCCTGCTGGAAGTCCAAGCCCCTCGCACACAAACCTCCTTTACCCCCTCCTCCAACCTTTCCTAGGCCGACCCCTACCCCGCCTTCCTTCCACTACAGACTGATACACTCTTGAAGTTATTCTGTTTTGCTCCATTCTCTCCACATGTCCGAACCACCTCAACAACCCTTCCTCAGCCCTCTGGACAACAGTTTTGGTAATCCCGCACCTCCTCCTAACTTCCAAACTACGAATTCTCTGCATTATATTCACACCACACATTGCTCTCAGACATGACATCTCCACTGCCTCCAGCCTTCTCCTCGCTGCAACATTCATCACCATGCTTCACACCCATATAAGAGCGTTGGTAAAACTATACTCTCATACATTCCCCTCTTTGCCTCCAAGGACAAAGTTCTTTGTCTCCACAGACTCCTAAGTGCACCACTCACCCTTTTCCCCTCATCAATTCTATGATTCACCTCATCTTTCATAGACCCATCCGCTGACACGTCCACTCCCAAATATCTGAATACATTCACCTCCTCCATACTCTCTCCCTCCAATCTGATATCCAATCTTTCATCACCTAATCTTTTTGTTGTCCTCATAACCTTACTCTTTCCTGTATTCACTTTCAATTTTCTTCTTTTGCACACCCTACCAAATTCATCCACCAATCTCTGCAACTTCTCTTCAGAATCTCCCAAGAGCACAGTGTCATCAGCAAAGAGCAACTGTGACAACTCCCACTTTATGTGTGATTCTTTATCCTTTAACTGCCAGGAATGTCTTTCTTATTTATTCTGGACTCTATTCGGAAATTGGCATCTTTTGAAATTTGTGGGAAATTGGCAAAATTGCTAAATTCTGACCACTGTATTGGATAGTTGAAATCGGTAAATGGGTGGTTTCTTGTACTCATTCGATAGAAAAAATGGAGTTAAAGCGAAATAGTTATGATTTTTGTCAACTAGTACACTGGAATTAGCCGAAAATAGGGCTCAAAGTGGGCAAAATCGCGGTTGCGTAAACATTGTCGAGACCACTAACTTCGCGAGAGCATAATTCTGTAAGTTTTCCATCAAATTTCATACTAATTGGTGTCATTATAATTGGGAAAAGATTCTCTATCTTTTAATAAGAATTTTTTTTTTTTTTTTTTGAAATTTAGCCGACCCTAAGAACAAGTCTCGGAGAGGGCCTGTCGACCCTGAAAGGGTTAATGTGTGATAGTGTAAACATGTTATCAGGGTTTTATATGCATTTGAAAGTGATAAAAAGGATATGTTTCGCTTTACAGTGGTAGCCCGGAACCTAACCTACTGTATAAGCAGGACCCGCCTGTATTAGTTGACAGAAAGGAAGACATATTACTGAAATAGAAATGGTTCAGGACAGGATGTGTCTTGAAATCAGGCTCAAAATATCAGAAATATTAGACTTTTGACAGTTTTCCTGAGGACATACACTCAGAGAAAGAGAAGGACCCTTGAGTGAGCATAGTTCCGAGATTTCATCTAAAGTGTACAGCAACTGAACACCGGCAACAACAAATGCATGACTGGCAAATTTAAAGGTAGCTTTGAGGAAACTCAACAAGGGTCATTCATAACTCTTATCTTATCGTGGAATATGCAGCGCCAGTGAGAATCTCGCATTTGATACATGTCAGCAAGCTGGAAAAAATGCATAGGGTTGCAACAAGACTAGTACCAAAGCTAAGAGATATAAGCTCTGAGGAGAAGCTAAAGGAGCTAATTGTGTGACCCTTGTGAGTTTAGCACTTAGTTTTGATTGTAATAATAATAAAGGAGCTAAATCTGATGACATTAAGAGGATGAAAGGACCAGGAGTGACTTGATTTTGGCATACAGAATATTGAAAGGGATTGACAGTGTGGTCAGGTACACAAAGGCACAGCTGAAAGTTAAAAGTAAAGACAAGTCACAGGGAAATACTACTTTAGTCTTAAAGTTGTCAGGAAGTGGAACGACCTAGGCAGCGAAGTGTTTACAGGTAGAAGCCATATATAGGTTTAAGAAGTGGTATGATAAGACTCAAACAACCAGGTTAGTAACCCAGTATTGGCCATCAGAGAGTCAGGGCTAGGAGCTGAGACTTAATCTCTGCAACAATAAATAGGTGAGTACATTCACCAGCAGGATAAGCAGAAACTGCATCCTTCATACACGCCACCCCTGGAGAATGCAGAGAATATCCTTGACTTCATCTAGCAGATACTCGGTGATAATATTGATCTTTATTTTTACAAGCACCTGATGCTACTAATACAGACCTAGTCGACATCATCGACATACTATATAGAAAGCCCCTGGTTATGCAGACCATTTCAGGCAACTTGGATTAATTCTGTCCTCCCAGGATGCAGCCCACAACAGTCGGCTAACACTTGGTTACCTGTGCAACTATTGTGAATGTTTCACTCTCCAGGAGCTTTTTGGCAGCTTGACAGAGCTCTCCAGGAGCTTTGTCAAGTTCCACATGTCATTTTACCTAACATATTGTGGGTAATTCTACCAACATTATTGCAACCCAGGTTCATATTGAGAGTGCCTATGCACTCACTGGTATTGTGATTAGTAGATTGTGGGAAAAAAGATATCATAATCTATATCTGGAAAATATTATAACTGGTTATAAATGTGCACACTTCAATATTTCCTTGTGAAACTGAGGTATTGTAGAAGGTGGAAAATTTTCAGAAAGATACAAAAGGGTTCATTGAGTAAGCAGTTGAAAAAAATAATGAGTCTACTGAGTTTTCCATCTGCTTCCTTCACAGTAAAGTGTCTGTACATGCAGTTGTTACATTTCTGGAGATGCCACAATTACGGAAAATATGTGCAAATATACTCTTGAATATTGAAATATTGTTTGATGATTGTTTGGCATTTTTGTATGTACGTATCAGATATCCCTTAGCCTTTTCACTGTCAGGATCCCTAAAATAAAAGTGCTTACAGTATCTGCAATTTAAAAAAAAAAAATACGTATATTTTCTAAAATGGTAGAGAATCTTTTATCTGAAGGTAATGACACCAAAAATATGGTATTTGGTGACAAATTTTCAGAATTATGCAGGAGCAGAGGTAGCAGTCTGGGCACAATTTACACATTAATGATTTCACCCTCTTTGAGTCCTATTTTAAGCCAATTCCATTGCTCAATTTCAGCAAATTCTTAGCTAGTTCACTAATATGCCTTCTGTTCCATCAGTTGGGCACAAGAAACTACCCTGTAAAGTGCACAGGAGTTGATAATTTCTCAAATTATACACAAAATTAAAAAATCTAAATTACGAACACTGTAGACATTCAAGCCACAAAAGTAACATTTCCCCTCTGTTCATTAATCATGCCATAGGGAGTTTCCTATATTACATTTTCCCTTCATTTTGAATTGAACATCAAAAAGAAATTGAAAATTTACCCTATTTTTTGGATAACAAAATATTATCAGGAATAATTAGGTTATGTCATGTCTGGGCACCTCTGCAAAGACAGTGATATTGTGTGAATGATGGCAAAAGTGTTGAATGATGGTGAAAGTGTGTTTTGAGCCACATCTATGGAAGACAGTAAACAGGTTAAAACACCAGCAACAACAGCCACCACCACACTATTACTTTAATATTTTTTTGATAAGTTTTCCATATTTTTCTGGGGGTAGCTTGTGGGGGTTATGACTGATCTTTTTTAGTAGAAAGCCTCGTCTTATAGCTAAGAATATACAGTAACCTACAAATTGGAGATAAATATTCAGTTTGTCCTAAAGTTCCAGGGGTGGTGAACCTGCAGCCTTCTATGGCATTAAGTGTGCCCTTCTGAATGAATTATGTTCTTGAAGTTATCATATAATAATTAACTTTCTACAAAATAACCGACATTTTGCAGTATATCTAATCAAAATTTCTTGAATGCAGCCTTATTAGATTACATCTAACTTTAATGTAGCCTTCCAACATAAAAAAGGTTCCTCACCCATGTCCTAAACCATAATAAAAAGACATGCACATACACAATCATCCATCATTTAGAGTGGTATAAACCTTGGTAATAAATACCTTGGTAATAAATAATAAATCGCCGTCACCGACACTATAGAACGCAACACTGGAAACTACAAAATTTCAAAAACATTGGCATACATGATACTTAAGCACCACCAACCCAACAACACAGGAGTCACATGATTTCAACGTCTACCTCTTCATCATAGGCAGAGGTTGTTTTGATAAGGACCTGCCTTGCATGGGCCAGTAGGCCTTCTGTAGTGTTCCTCCATTCTTATGTTCTTATGACATTCCTCAGGTCACGTGCGTCACACCTCACTCTCCGCCTATATATGTAATGCCTTTCTACCTCTGTATGTTAGAAGTGATCAAGGTCCCAGGACTGAAACGTTTTCTAATAAATATGTCAGTGTTTGCTTACGTGTCTTTCTAAACCATCATTTGGAGTATATTCATGCCTTGTCTATCTGTGGGTTGAGCAGTCCGTCAGTGGAACTTCAATTCACATTTAATGGAAGGACACATGACAACTCTTAACATTTTCAAGGCATTGAATTTTTCTATTGACACAATGAGTAAGAAAGCCATCTTTTTCTCTGGCATGTCACTTTGTCTCACTCAGTGTGGCCAACCCTCAGTACTCAAAAAAATATGATGTTATAGAAGCAGATGCCTGTAGTTAAATAAGTACAGTACATGTAACATTTAAAATGTTTAATGATAATTCAAGGTTTTTATTTTCAAGAGATAGTATATAATTAACTTTTTAATTTTTATTACAGGCATAATGATACATAATACCCTTTATAGAAATGTACCTAGTTGGATGAATCTTAGTAGAGCCAGCTGGCCAAGTGGTTAATGCATTGGCCTGTGAATTTTAGGACTCGCCATGAGTTTAATCCCCACTTCTTCCATGATTTCTTCCGATATAGTGCACTGTCGTGTAGGTACCATAGGTATATGTATTAAGTGATAGCTTGAGCCTTTCCTGTGCATTACATATTTTCCCCCTCATCACAGCTATGGTGTTGTGTTGTGGGAACTTCTTACAGGTGAATCACCCTACAAAGGCATTGATACACTGGCTATAGCATACGGAGTTGCTATGAACAAGCTCTGGCTCCATATCCCTTCTACGGTACCCACCAACTGGAGGAAACTCATGGAGGGTAAGTGTGTGTTTTCTTGCTTTGATATAGTATTTATAAACAAGGGTCCATGTCTTGTGCAAATTTTGGGAACCATAGCTTCTAAGAAGTGGATAAAAAGGCTTTGAGGAAGAATATTTTGATTTCTTCCTGAAACCATTTGAATATTCTACTTCCCCTACCAACCCATCTTTTCATTTTTTTTCCACCAATACTATCGGTATATTTTATTACCAGGTATCTTTTATAAACTATGGACAAAGTAATCTTCATTGAAGTACCATCCCTCCACTCCCCCCTTTTTTTTTTGTAATTAATGACCATGATCTTGGTGAGAATACTCTTCAGGGATTAGGGAGGGTGGGGGTCCTTGATGCTGATGAATGGCTTTAGATCCAAGGAATTGGAGCTACCCTCAACTTGCATCAAACCTGATTATCTCCCATTCCCCAGGTGCTATATGATCATTAAAAGTTTAGCTTTTACCTTCTTAGAATATACAGTAAAGTGAAGTAATAATGATATTGTACTAATACTAAACAAAAGTCTGAGAGAATAGGTGCCCGATGAGTGTGGAAAGTAAACTGGTGTTCACAAGTAGGGATGGCCCGTCCATATAAGCTAACTAGGTGGTTATCTGGGTGACCAAGTTAAATGAGGCATGAAATTCGAGGGAAAAAGTTCATAATTTTTTTTTTTTAACCCACTGCCTGTCTCTCACTGAGGCAGGGTGACCTAAAAAAGAAAAATCAAGCTGAATTTTTCTTTTTGCAATTAGTAATTTATACAGTAGGGGTAAAATAAAAAAATATATAACTAAAACAACAGAACCATTGTTTAAAAATGAATGCTTAAAATTTAGGAAGGGGCTGTAGGGTAAAGGCTCCTGTCCAATGCTTAAGGCATTTATTAGGAAATTTTTCACTCACTAGGAGCATTGTCAGTTCTAGTGTGCAAAATGTTGCTTTAATAAAAGCTTTAAGTGTTGGACATGTTTTTACCCCTTAGTTTAATGGTATTGCAATACAGGTTGACGATCACCAATCTGGCATCATTGGAACCATTGAATTCCATAAAAAACTCACGTATTAGTCTACCAGAGTTAACTATACTCGGTAGGTGCCTCATAAAATGGATGTGATACTTACGCTAGCCAGAATCAGTGCTGGATTAGTGATGGAACCAGATTAGTGATTGCTGGATCAATGATGGCCGACCTGTACCTAGTACTTGTGTGCGAAATGGGGGCAAAATGTTTCCTAGTTTTAATAAAATCCTTAGGTTTATATCTGCTTTTGGGATTGGGGAGGGGATGGCATCTATTGCATGGTTTGTCTAGGGTGCTAGATGCTGGCAGCTAGCCTAGAGAAATCTATTCAACAAGTTGAATTGAGAAACCTTGGTTTCCATGGAAAATGTTGTCTTAACTCTTTCACAGTCTTCCATGTAGATCTGAATCATTGATGCCGGGGTCATTTGTGTAGATCTATGTTTTGAGCTCAGCTTCCTCAAATAAGCTGTGAGTGGTAAATTTTGGCCTAGACATGAGAATGGGTCTGTGAGGAGTGTGTGCACAGTTTAAAAGAAATCCTGCAAATGCATCAATTGAACCCAAACTGCCAACTTTGCGCCAACATAATTCCATAAGGTTCCCATCAACTTTTGTCTTTAGTATCATTACTTTCAGAAAGATTCTCTTCTATTACAGAAAAAGAAATTTTTTTCAGTCGTGAAACTGTCACCACTTCTAATTTTAGGGGTGGGAGGTGGGTACATCAGTGAAAGGGTTAAGTTTTCATTCTGCTATACTATCCTTACAAGTTTGTCATTTTTCTAACCTATTATTCATAGAGTTGTTGTCGAGAACCCTGAGATTAATATTGTTCTCAGTGTCCACTTTAAAAACAAAACAAAACAAAAAAATTCTCTACCATTTCTGAAAAATGGTAGAGAATTTTTTTCTGGAAGTAATGACACCAAAATATTACACGGGTGCAAAGTTAGCATTCTCAGTGCAGTTTATGTATTGGCAATTTTGCCAACTTTGAGTCCTATTTTAACCCTTAAACGATCCAAACAAATCGACATTCAAATTCGTAATGCTACAAAAGTACAGTGGACCCCCGCTTAACGATCACCTCCCAATGCGACCAATTATGTAAGTGTATTTATGTAAGTGCGTTTGTACGTGTATGTTTGGGGGTCTGAAATGGACTAATCTACTTCACAATATTCCTTATGGGAACAAATTCGGTCAATACTGGCACCTGAACATACTTCTGGGATGAAAAAATATCGTTAACCGGGGGTCCACTGTATATCTACTTTTTTTTACATATTTTCAAAATATAAAAAAAAAAAAATGTAGATAAAAGCTTTTTTTACACGTTTTCAAATGTAAAACAAAAAAAAAAGATCTTCATTTTTTTACATACTTTCAGATGTTGAAAAAACGTATATATACGTTTGGACTGTTTAAGGGTTAAGCCAATTCCATTGATCCATCGACTGCATTCCAAGCTATTTCGCTAGTATGCCTTCCTTTTTACGGATTGAGCTCAAGAAATCACCCATTCAGTTATTTCAACTACCTTATAATGTGCATGGTGCAAAATAAGCAATGTAGACATTCCTGGCACTAAAACATTTTTTTCTTTACATTAATCACATCCCTAGGCTTCCATTTGGAATTCATAATCAAACAAAAATAGATTTACTTTGCTTCCTGGATAATAAAATATAACCAGGAATGATTTACCATGATTTACAGTGTCCCATTAAGTGAATCAGATGTATTAAAAACCCATAAAACAGAGTGGGGGGGTGTAGGGGGGGCCTTACCTGTCCTCAGAAAAAATGGGAAAATCAAACGTTTCTACTACCTTGAGTTCAGTTTCAAGCTACTTCCTGTTCTGAAACCAGCCAAAATCATCTCTGTGTCTTCCATTCTATCAAATGATACCAAGAAACAGCCAACATAACCATAAAGAACCATCCCAGAAAACACCTCAGTCACTATTTTAAACCATTCATTCACTGCATGGGCAGGATTTTTATTATTTTGTGAACACCATGCAGACCCATTCTCTCTTATGTAGGCCAAAATTTACTGTTCACAGGTTATCTGAATGAGCAGAGCTCATTCTGTAGAACTACTGGAGGGATTCTTGCCTCAGTGATTTAGTTCTACATAACAGCCACTCAAAGGGTTAAACATCTGTTGTTTTTTATTTCATCAATTCTTTATAGCTGAGTAACTGAAATTTGTCCTCATTTAAGACTCTATTGTCTTCTGTGGCCCACTTGAAAAATTGTGTTGTATCAAGAGCTTAGAGATTTGATGTTTTAAGGAATGCCACTCTTGTACAAATTTAGTATTATATGCAAAGGATTATTCGGTGCTAGGAAAGGAAATTTTGGCGAGTTTAAATCACTAAATAACCAAATTTTGTTTTAGTATTTTGTAAATAAAATACACAGACTTGCACTGTGTCCCAGTGCTTTCTGGTGGAACAAAGTACAAGTCTGTGCCCACACTCAAAAATACCTGTGTACTCTTTACTGCTTCTCTTTTTATATCGATTCACTGCTAATACTCCTTGCAAAAAAAAAAAAAAAAAAAAAAAAAGCTCAACAGTTGATCTGAAATGCATAGCTTCTAATGAGAATTACACCTTTATTAAATTGTCCATTAAGACAGAAGACTGAAAGATGGTGACAGCCATGGCTTGTAACACATTGAAACATCCTCTGCCTGTTATCAACAAATTTTTAAATAATATATTTTTTAGTTATTGGGTAATTTTAGGGTCACTTGGGTAAATTTAAGGTTGGCTGCATAATGGGTCCACAACTATTTATCTTGTAATTCATCATTGATATAACCGAAGATTTCCACATGCTGTTCATAATTTTTTTTTTTCGATACGTCGGCCACTTCCCACCGAGGCAGGGTGACCAACGAAGAAAGAAAAACTCAAAAAGAAAGAAAAAAAAACTTTCATCATTAACCACTTTCACCATCACTCATACATAATGACTGTCCTTTGATTCTGTCAGGTTGTTGGGAGTTAGATCCACATGCTCGGCCAGTATTTGAGGAGATCCGTAAAAAAAGTAAACATGGATGAAAATAGCCGATCTAACTCACACATAACACGCGTCCCACGAGAGCTCCATACAATGCAGGACATTGGAAGGTGGAAATTGAGAGGAAAAGTCAATGAGAACATTCCGAAATGTAGGAAATGTAAGTAAAGGTGACAAAGCATGTTATATGAATACAAATGTTAAATATTAATAAACATTTATTCCTAATAAAAATTTTCAAAATTAAGAAAAAAGGTACTGTTCCTCGTAAACCACAAACACATGCGCCTTGGCAAATTCTTTTACAACTCCTTTTTCATTATCCATATGTTAAAAATAACTATTATTCGGTGGTAGCATACTGGTTTATTATTAAGAGTCTGCATGTTTGTACTCTCTCCAGCTCTTCTTCTTTTTATAATGTTCGTGTCCTTCATTAATGTCCATTTCCTATCTTAATATTGATATGGTACTAGACACATTCTTTTCTTTTATATCAACAAACCATTTTGGGAAAATCGATATGCGATAAGTAATAAGTCCATGTCCTGTAAATGGGAATTGGAAACGTGTTAAATATTTTCACTGTGTTGCAGAGTTTGCTGTTATTTTTTCTTTATGGCTCATCGAACATTTAAAATAGTAGAATGAATCTGGCATATTTTTATTACATTCGAGTATATACACTTACCTTAATGTTCTAGGTGCCTCTCACTACTGTACTGTAGTTCTGATAACATAAAATGCTTGTCTTTCCCCAGCAAAGTAGACCTGTTCTGAGAAGCATTAACATGTAACAAACATGGCAAACACAATGTATCAGATGCTACTATACACCTAAAGGGCTGAACGAATTATCCTTTCAGTCCGACCACATTAGTTGTAATCCCCTATCTTCACTACAATAGTTCAATGTCTCGCACCCAGACCAGAATTGTTTCAAATAACATTACACCATGTTGATACTTGAATACCATATCCCCACCCGCTCACAAGAGAGTCACATTCTTCTACATATTCTTCTCAATTCTTTTTTTTCAAAAAACCGGACCGTAACCCACCGAAGGCAGGGTGGCCTAAAAAGAAAACACAACCAAATTTCTCTTATCCAATTTAGTAATTTATACAGGGAAAGGGGTTAGCTTACCCTTGCTCTTGGTCATTTTAGTCACTTCTATACAACATGGCATTGCTTACGGAGGAAAGAATTCTGTTCCACTTTCCCCATGGAGATAAGAGGAAATAAACAAGAGCAAGAACTAGAAAGTAAATAGAAGAAAACCCAGACGGGTGTGTATGTGCATATATGCTTGTACATGTATGTGTAGTGTGACCTAAGTGTTAGAAGAAGTAGCAAGACATACCTGAAATCTTGCATGTTTACGAGACAGAAAAAAGGACACCAGCAATCCTACCATCATGTAAAACAATTAAAGGCTTTCATTTTACACTCGATTGGCAGGACGGTAGTACCTCCCTGGGCAGTTGCTGTCTACCAACCTACTACCTATTTTATATATACAGTGATCCCTCGTTTTTCGTAATTAATCCATTCCTGGAAGTGTGATTATCGAAATTGCCGATTTTCGAATCCCTTTTCCGCATAAGAAATAATATAAATCCAATTAATTCGTTCCAGACACTCAGAAGTATCAACAACAATTTTTTTTTTTTACCTTAAAGATAGATTTACATGCAGAAAAGAATGAACATTCAACAAGACAGTTATCTTTATTGAAGACTGGTGTTGATGAATGGAAAACAGGGAGGAGGAGAGAGGAAAGAGAGGTTATTGTTTGGAAGGGGAATCCCCCTCCATAAGGACTGTAGGTCACTTCGGGGTTCACTTTCCTAGCCACTTTCCTATAAATTTCCCTAACTTAAATATAGATTTAAATGCAGAAAAGAATGCCAAATAAATGTAAAGCACTAATAAAATGTATAAATGAAGATTTAACATCACACTTACCTTTATTGAAGACACTTGGTCAACAGGAAGGGTGGTGGAGTGGTGATGTATGTCAGAGAAAATTTAAATTGCTGTCTTAGACATGATATAAGATTAGAAACATTGAACACAGAATCTGTTTTTGGCTACAGTTTCTCGAGGGAATGTGAACAATTTTTTGGTGTATTTATAGGCCCCCCCCCAAACCTGATAGGGAGTGGCAAGTAAGACTTTTATGGGTGAAATTCATAAGGCATCTAGATATGAACCGTAATCAAAGAAAGTCTAGCAACTCTTCATAACGGTTTAAAATTGCTTTTTAGAATAAGGTTGTGACAGAACCAACTAGAGGAAACAATCTGCTTGACTTGGTTCTTGCCAACAAAGGAATTCTACTAATTTAATAATCTTGAGTTAATGATGAGCTGGTAAAAGTGATCACAAATCACCTAGTTTCAATATACAGGGGCCCCCCCGCAAACGATTCCTCCGAATGCCCCAAATTATGTAAGTATTTATGTAAGTGCGTTTGTACGAGGGTGGGGGGGTCAAAAATTTGATAATCTACTTCAAAAATTTTCCTTTATGGAACAAATTCGGTCAGTATTTGGCACCTGAACATACTTCTGGATAAAAAAAATATTTTTAAACCCGGGGTCCCTTTATATACAGTGGCCCCCCCGCATAACATCCCCTTTTCAATCGCCCAATTTTATTTTATTTTTTTTATTTTTTTTTTAAAATTTTAAAAGCAACAAACAGAGGTAAAAAAAATAAGGAAGACAGCATCCCAAACCCCACTAATTGCATACATTAGGGCTGGCTTAAAATTAACTTAAGATTAACAAAGCAATGAAGAAATCAGTGATAAAACTTATTGTAAACAATAACTATAAAGCACAAATGAGTATTACAAAAAACGGGTCAAAGGTTGCTTGCTTTGCTGTACATTCAGTCGAATGGAGTATTCGTTGGGTTGTGTTTTTAAAAAAAATAATAAATTTAATTGGTTCCGGGTTTTAACATTTGGGGATATAATTGTGATAACAAAAAGGATATAAAATTTTATAAGGTTCATTATTCAGTATTTTTTTTGGTTTTGAGTGAGTAATGATCTTTGAGAAGAGACTTGATTATAAACGGGTAGTGTTTCTTTTATTTTTCAAATGAATTCCAGATTTTGGCTTTTATTTCATTGAGTTTTTGCATAGCGTGAGATGGACACGAGGAACAAAAAGGGGAAATCTGTGCCTTGTGTTATGGTCATGTTTTTCGTTGAGGTTGGCAAGGAGATGTTGAGGGGAGGTTAATATCAGAGTTAATGTTCTATGTATGTAATAGGGCAATAATAAATATGGATGTTTTGTATGGTGATAGGTTTATGTTTTGAATATTTTGAATGTTTTGTTGTTTTTTTTATGTAAGTGCATTGTACGTGTAAGTTTGGGGGGGCTGAAATGACAATCTAATTTCCCAAAATTCCTTTGGAACAAAATTTGGTCAGTACGGGACCTGAACATACTTTTGGAGTGAAAAAATATTTAACGGGGGCCACTGTATTTTACAGTGGACCCCGTTAACGATATTTTTTTACTCCAGAATAGTTCAGGTGCCAGTACTGACCGAATTTTTTCCCATAAGAATTTGTGAAGTAGATTAGTCCATTTTTGACCCCCAAACAAAACTACAAACCCCTTACAAAATCCTTTCATAATTGTTTCTTGGGAGGGGATCGTTAGCGGGGGCCCCCTGTATTTTTTTTTTTTTACCACGGCCGATTCCCACCAAGGCAGGGTGGCCCAAAAGAAAAAAAGTTATATATATTTATTATTTTTTTTTTTTTTCAACAAGTCGGTCGTCTCCCAACCCGGGGAGGGGGCCCAAAAAAAAAAGAAAAAATCCCAAAAAGAAAATACTTTCATCAACATTTAACACTTTTTTTCCACACTCACACATTACACGTTTTTCAGAGGGGCTCAGAAAACAACTTTAAAGCATATCGAAAAAAGAACACAACATATCCCCCAAACGCCAATATCCCAAACCCCTCCTTTAAATGCAGGCATTTGTACTTCCCATTTTCCCGGGCTCAAATCCGACTAATGAAAAAAACCGGGGTTTCCCTGAATCCCTTCACTAAATATTTCCCGCCCACTCCAAAGATCGTCAGGGCCCAGTATCATTCGTCTCCATTCACTCCTATCTTAAAACGCTAGCACGCTTGCTGGAAGTCCAAACCCCTCGCCCACAAAACCTCCTTTACCCCCTCTTTCCAACCCTTTCGAGGACGACCCCTACCCCTCTTTCCTTCCCCTATAGATTTATATGCTTTCCATGTCATTCTACTTTGATCCATTCTCTCTAAATGACCAAACCACCTCAACAACCCCTCTTCTGCCCTCTGACTAATGCTTTTATTAACTCCACACTCCGAATTTTCTGCATAATATTTACACCACACATTGCCCTTAGACAGGACATCTCCACTGCCTCCAACCGTCTCCTCGCTGCTGCATTTACCACCCAAGCTTCACATCCATATAAGAGTGTTGGTACTACTATACTTTCATACATTCCCTTCTTTGCCTCTATAGATAACGTTTTTTGACTCCACATATACCTCAACGCACCACTCACCTTTTTTCCCTCATCAATTCTATGATTAACCTCATCCTTCATAAATCCATCCGCCGACACGTCAACTCCCAAGTATCTGAAAACATTCACTTCTTCCATACTCCTCCTCCCCAATTTGATATCCATTTTTTCTTTATCTAAATCATTTGATACCCTCATCACCTTACTCTTTTCTATGTTCACTTTCAACTTTCTACCTTTACACACATTCTCAAACTCATCCACTAACCTTTGCAATTTTTCTTTAGAATCTCCCATAAGCACAGTATCATCAGCAAAAAGTAACTGTGTCAATTCCCATTTTGAATTTGATTCCCCATAATTTAATCCCACCCCTCTCCCAAACACCCTAGCATTTACTTCCTTTGCAACCCCATCTATAAATATATTAAACAACCATGGTGACATTACACATCCCTGTCTAAGACCTACTTTTACTGGGAAGTATTCTCCCTCTCTTCTACACACCCTAACCTGAGCCTCACTATCCTCATAAAAGCTCTTTACAGCATTTAGTAACTTACCACCTATTCCATAAACTTGCAACATCTGCCACATTGCTCCTCTATCCACTCTATCATATGCCTTTTCTAAATCCATAAATGCAATAAAAACTTCCCTACCTTTATCTAAATACTGTTCACATATATGCTTCAATGTAAACACTTGATCTACACATCCCCTACCCACTCTGAAGCCTCCTTGCTCATCCGCAATTCTACATTCTGTCTTACCTCTAATTCTTTCAATTATAACTCACTAAACCGTATACTTTTCCTGGTATACTCAGTAAACTTATTCCTCTATAATTTTTACAATCTCTTTTGTCCCCTTTCCCTTTATATAAAGGGACTATACATGCTCTCTGCCAATCCCTAGGTACCTTCCCCTCTTTCATACATTTATTAAACAAAAGTACCAACCCACTCCAACACTATACCCCCCCTGCTTTTAACATTTCTGTCATGATCCCATCAGTTCCAGCTGCTTTCCCCCCCTTCATTTACTACAAGGGGCCTCCTACCTCCACCAAAATTACATTCTGCTCTTCTTCACTCCTTAAAAGATGGTTACCCTCCCTGGCCAGTGCATAAAAATTACCCCTCCCTTTCTTTCGTAAACCCATTTAAAAGGTCCTCAAAATATTAAAAGCCATCTACCTAATCCCCTCCCTCTCCCCACTCCCAAACTCCCCTAGGGGGATTGGGGGGGTTTTTAAAGGACAAATTCAAAACTTTCCCCTAGGCTTTCTTAAATTTTTTAACTCCAAAAAAATTTTTTCTTATTTTCTTTAAAAATTTTCTTGACAGTCCCCTCCCCACCCCTTTCATCTGCTCCCCTTTTTGGGGCACTCTCTCACCATTTCTCTTCACCTTTCTTTTACTCTCCATATACTCGGGCTCTTCTTAAAAACAACTTCGGGCTTTGAAAAACCCTCTCGAAAGGGCAAACCTTTTTTCCTCTTTTACCCACACCCTTTACTTCATCTTTCCCCCACCAATCACTCCTTCCTTTTTCCCTTCTCCCCCCACCCTCCTAAAACCACAAACTTCTACCCCCACATTCTAATCCCTGCTTTTTTAAAACTATTCCCCAAACCCTCTTAAACCCCCGCCCCACTACTAAATTTTTGGGAAAACTAGCCCACCTTTCGGGCCAATAGCCCGAAAAAATTTTCTCCCCGAATTTTTCCTCCCCCCTTAGTTTAAAACCTTTCACCTCCCTCTTACTTGTTTTTTGCCCCCCTTCCCCTTTTTTTTTTTCCCATCTACCCCCTTACTCAAATTTGGTAGCTACAACAAAAAATTTGATTTTACATATCATTGCCCCTCTATAAACATTACATCCTGGAGCCTAAACCCCTCAACCCCTTTTTAACCACCCAAAACTAATTTTAACAAACTACTTTCATTTCGTGCTACATCAACCCCTTTTATATTTTTTTTTATCCCTTTTTATAAAATAAAGTATTACTTATTACCAAAATTTCCCTTTCTACAAAATAGCTCAATTAAAAAGGGTCCCCCCTTTTACAAATTTTCCCCTGGCAACCCCCAAATTTACCTACTACTCCCCCCCCCTCAAGGAAGGTTCCTTGATGGGTTTGGGGAGGGGGTCTTGATTTTGGGAATTGGATCTGTGCTCCAGTTTCCCCGAATTAAGCCTGAATGCCTTCCACATCCCCCCCCAGGCGCTGTATAATCCTCCGGGTTTAGCGCTTCCCCCTTGATTATAATAATAATAATAATAATAACCTACTACTCCCTCCATAACATTTTTACCCACTTTAGCATTGAAATCCCCAACCACCATTACTCTCACACTTGATTCAAAACTCCCCACACATTCACTCAACATTTCCCAGAATCTCTCTCTCTCTCCTCTACACTTCTTTCTTCTCCAGGTGCATACACGCTTACTATAACCCACTTTTCACATCCAATCTTCATTTTACTCCACATAATCCTTGAATTTATGCATTTGTAGTCCCTCTTTTCCTGCCATAGCTTATCCTTCAACATTATTGCTACTCCTTCTTTAGCTCTAACTCTATTTGAAACCCCTGACCTAATCCCATTTATTCCTCTCCATTGAAACTCTCCCACCCCCTTCAGCTTTGTTTCACTTAAAGCCAGGACATCCAATTTCTTCTCATTCATAACATCCACAATCATCTCTTTCTTATCATTTGCACAACATCCATGCACATTCAGACTTCCCACTTTGACAATTTTCTTCTTCTTATTCTTTTAGTAATCTTTACAGGAAAAGGGTTACTAGCCCATTGTTCCCGCATTTATAGTTGACTTTTACAACACGCATGGCTTACGGAGGAAAGATTCTTATTCCACTTTCCATGGATATAAAAGGAAAAGTAATAAGACCAAGAACTATTAAGATAAAATCAAAGAAAACTCAGATGAGTGTGTATAAATAAACATGTACGTGTATGTGTAGTGTGACCTAAGTGTAAGTAGAAGTAGCAAGACGTACCTGTAATCTTGCATATTTATGAGACAGACAAAAGACACCAGCAATCCTACATCATGTAAAACAATTAACAGGCTTTCGTTTTACACTCACTTGGCAGGACGGTAGTACCTCCCTGGGTGGTTGCTGTCTACCAACCTACTACCTATATATATATATATATATATTTATATTTATTGGCAGTTTGGAGGGATATGTTGTGTATCTTTATATGTGTATGCTTCTAAACTGTTGTATTCTGAGCACCTCTGCAAAAACAGTGATAATGTGTGAGTGTGGTGAAAGTGTTGAATGATGATGAAAGTATTTTCTTTTTGGGGATTTTCTTTCTTTTTTGGGTCACCCTGCCTTGGTGGGAGACGGCCAACTTGTTGAAAAAAAAATATATATATATATCCTAGGTAGTAGGTTGGTAGACAGCAATCGCCCAGGGAGGAACTACCATCCTGCCAAGTGAGTGTAAAACGAAAGCCTTTAATTGTTTTACATGATGGTAGGATTGCTGGTGTCCTTTTTTTCTGTCTCCTTAACATGCAAGATTTCAGGTACGTCTTGCTACTTCTACTTACACTTAGGTCACACTACACATACATATTCAAGCATATATATATATACACACCCCTCTGGGTTTCCTGGGTTATTTCCTCTTATCTCCATGGGGAAGTAGAACAGAATTCTTCCTCCGTAAGCCATGCGTATTGTAAGAGGCGACTAAAATGCCGGGAGCAAGGGGCTAGTAACCTCTTCTCCTGTATATATTACTAAATGTAAAAGGAGAAACTTTCGTTTTTCGTTTTGGGCCATCCCGCCTCGGTGGAATACGGCCGGTGTGTTGAAAGAAAGAAGATATGTATATAGGTAGTAGGTTGGTAGACAGCAACTGCCCATGGAGGTAGTACCGTCCTGCCAAGTGAGTGTAAAACGAAAGCCTGTAATTGTTTTACATGATGGTAGGATTGCTGGTGTCCATTTTTCTGTCTCGTAAACATGCAAGATTTCAGGTACCCCTTGCTACTGCTTCTTACACTTAGGTCACACTACACATACATGTACAAGCACATGTATATGTACACACCCCTCTGCATTTTCTTCTATTTTCTTACTAGTTCTTGTTCTTGTTTATTTCCTGTTCTCTCCATGGGGAAGTGGAACAGAATTCTTCCTCCGTAAGCCATGTGTGTGTTGTAAGAGGCTACTAAAATGCCAGGAGCAAGGGGCTAGTAACCCCTTCTCCTGTGTATATTACTAAATGTAGAAGTAGAAGCTTTCATTTTTACTTTTGGGCCACCCTGCCTTGGTGGGATATAGCCGGTTTGTTGAAAAAAAAAAAAAAAGGTAGTAGGTTGGTAGACAGCAACCGCCCAGGGAGGTACTACCGTCCTGCCAAGTGAGTGTAAAACGAAAACCTGTAATTGTTTTACATGTTGGTAGGATTGCTGGTGTCCATTTTTTGTCTCGTAAACATGCAAGGTTTCAGGTACGTCTTGCTACTTCTACTTACACTTTGGTCGCACTACACATACATGTACAGGCATATATATATATACATACACCCCTCTGGGTTTTCTTCTGTTTTCTTACTAGTTCTTATTCTTGTTTATTTCCTCTTATCTCCATGGGGAAGTGGAACAGAATTCTTCCTCTGTAAGCTATGCGTGTTGTAAGAGGCGACTAAAATGCCAGGAGCAAGGGGCTAGTAACCCCTTCTCCTGTATAAATTAATAAATTTAAAAAGAGAAATTTTTGTTTTCTTTTTGGGCCACCCTGCCTTGGTGGGATACGGCCGGTTTGTTTAAAAAAAAAATACATTTATATATTTTTATTTATTAAGCCATAAATCATTGCATGTTCAACCGTGTCTCAGGATTTACGGTGCCGAGAAGAGGAAGTTCGTCAATTGTTAGTGAAGCAAAAGCAGATAGCGAGCAACTTAAGAAAAGAGAGCAGGAGCTGCATAACAGAGAAATGGACCTCTTGCAGCGTGAGATCTCCATAGCCATTCAGCAGCAGTCGTCGAAACCCACACCAAAGAAACGTAAAGGAAAGTTTAAGAAAAAACTTCTCACAAGATCGCACCAGATCTCTGCTCCATCTGGTAAGTTGGAGGATACTTTGTTGTGTCCTAGGAAGTTAATGTTTAATATTATATAGGAAATCATAATTATCTTGAGCTAGCAGGTTTGTTCAAGAAGCAGGGAAAAATAATAGTGTTAACTGAGTGGTTGTTGGTAACTCGCATTATAATTGGTGCTCATGTTTGATTGTCCGGTGTGTGCATGTCACTGTCAAGAACAGCAGTATGTGTACTGTACCTTCAACACGGCATCAGCCATGCTACCAGTAAAGCGGGTAGGAGTAAATCCTGTAATTGTTTTAGCTTTAATATTTTATTGTTTAAAGTCTTTCCAACATTTAGATTTTTACTCAGATTAAAATTTCTATAGAGTTGTATGTGATGGTATTTTTACTTCTAATATATATTTGTGCTTCCTAACATTAGAGTACAGTAGTTCCAGAAATTGAAAAGAACTGTTAATAGTGAATGTTGCATGGTTAGCTTTTCATAATAAAATGAAGTCCTTATTAACCATAGTTATAAAATGAAGTGCATAGTAAAAGTTGCTACAATTTTACTATTTCAGGGCTTTATCTTACCTACAATTGGTTTCATAGAAAAAATTAGTACATAAACTCCAAAGCATCCAAATTCAATAGAGCCAAATTTATGCTTGGTTTTAATAAGTAAAAATTTTAATGTCAATAAAAATTTATATTTACTCATTTACTGCTCAGACCTGTTTGAAAAAGGGTTGGGTCCCCTGTTTGTCTAAATTAATGTGAACCATATGTGAAGGTGTTGCTGCTGCCCTGTATGCGCATGCTTCTTTGGTGTACACTATAGTACTTCAGTGTACACCATGGTATTTTAGATACATTGTTCTTTCTTGTACACTGCTATTATGGTGTACACTATGGTTGTACTTTGGGGGTACACTATGGTGGCACTTTAGGGTGTGCTATTGTGGTACCTTAGTGTACACTTGGTAATTCTTTGATGTTATCACAATTTTTGAACATAGATATAGGTAACTTTTAGTTGCTTTTTTAGCTGTGTGTTTTCTCTTCAAATCCTTATTTATATACATATAGTTATTAATAGAAAAAGCAACTCACTTGCCATGATCCCGTCTTGATGAGTCTAGTGGATTCAGACTGAAGTACTAGTAATACACAATATGTATCCAGTTGTATGATAAATATTCATTTGGTACATACCCTTAATAAAATTGATCAGTTCATTCTCATAGGTAATCAACTGTTAATAGCATATGCTTACTTTTCCTTCGTTAGTGAGATAGTACAATTTTAGATTTGTAGTTGACAAATTGATGATTAATGGTGAAGAAGAAATAGAACTAAATTACAGTAATTGATCATTTATAGAGGGGAGGTAAATTACCCATAAGGAAAATACATATGTATTGTTTATCACAGTGTTCTCAAACTGAGCACAAGTTTGCATTTATTTAGACTTCATTTGCATCCATGTGTTTTATCCATTACCTTTGGTATGACTAAAATAATTGCAAAAAAAAATGAAAGAATATAGGTAATAACGAATTAGGTACATATTGCCCAAAAACAGAGAATTGTATCATTCATAGAATCAAAAACTTTTCTTTAAAACACACTTGGCTAGTATGGTGACAAAACTGAAGATCATTTAAATGCTTTCATTATTGAATAAATGACAAATAACATTAAAATTCACCCTATCTCTGAACAACAATTTAGCTATGTTATTTACATTATTATACAGTTTTAGAATGTCATGTAATGGCAAAGGAGCCATATCTCAAGTGACTGTTATTTCACTTCACAGCACGAAGGAAGAGGTACAATGAACAAAATATATAATATACTTTATTGAGTGACAAAGTATTAGTGTAATATTAACTAAACATCACATTTTGCAAATGACCAAATATACATTCAGCTGCTTTCAGCATGTACTGAACAATGATACACTGAGGCAAACTAACATAGTATGTATGGGAATACGTCATACAGTGAGTGCTGTAGTATGAGAATCTATCATAGAGTGGCTGTAGACTCCTAGATTTGAGCCAGTATGAAAACTGGCAGTACTTAGTAGCTTGATAGCAACTAGGTAAAGTACTGTACACACGTCTTTGCTATCATAGAGTTTAAGACAGCACTGTAACTCTTAACTCTAATTCTTGTAATACTATATTTCTTTTCTAATTTATGAGGCATATTCTGAGGTAATTCATGGGGGGTTAATGATTACTGGATAATCAACAAGCATATATTGCTCATTCTGTTGTTACATCTTAATCTGGGCACATCATAGTCAGTGACTTAAACAATAGGAATACTTATTACATTTGTTAATGAACACCCATTTAAATTAATGCAAACCATAATTAGGTGGCAAATAGTGATTGTAATCTGATAACTCATTTTTGAAGCTCGTCCCTTGATTATACTGTACTGTAAAGCCTTTCTGTGGAGGGATGCATTAACATGTAGTAAATACATAAATAAAACACACCCAGTATGGTGATTACTGTTCACTTTGAGGTATTTCAGTAAAAAATGCTTAGAAATGTGAACAATGACAGTAGCATGGTTATTACATGAAGTTATTTATATATTGTATTTTAACTTTGTTTTCTTATTACATATAATTGGCACCTTAACTTTAAAGCTCTCCGTATGAGCAGTGACTTGATTGGTGCAGATATGAGCTTCTTAGCGTTTGTGTATTTGTAAAGTTTTTAAAGCTTATTAAAATTATAGAAAACTTGTATATAACAATAATAATATAGTAATAGTTTCAACAATGTATATAATGGAATAGATCATAAGAAATATGCAAAAATCTACATTGAGGCTTATTTTGTGCCAAGGCTCATGTCTGAAGACTATTTAGTTCACTAGTCATATTTATTTTACTTACATCTTTTCATGTTATTGTATGCTTAAATACTTAGTGAAAAATCATTAGTTTTCCCATAATCACTTTTATGTCCTGATCAAGTGGCTGTATTGATTGTAGTAATTTTATGCAGTACTAAATTCTAAAAACTTTGAGAACTGGAAAAAGTGGAAAGAGAAGGATGGCAAGAGTGCATGTGGGCGATGCCTCAGTGTTTTCCTCTACTCTCCTGTAGATTTCCGGCACAACATCACAGTGCAGCCAACCGCAGGTGTTGTCCTTAATCCTACGAGTGCCGAGAGTCCCCCAGGCTCCCCTAACCTGCCCAGACTCAGGGCCATTGCATGTAAGTCACACAAGCTCTTCTCATACTAGGCAGGGTTCATTGTAATTTAGTTTAGGCATGTGTGTATCCCATGCATAAATGGTCTAATATATAATATACTTTGTGTCAAGATGTACTTTGTATAAAGTGGAACTGAACAGGTGCAACACAAGTCTCTGCTCTAAAACTTAATTACATATATACAGTATGATTGTACCTAGAGTTGTACTCACTGAGTTATGTTTGCTGGGATTAATACTTAGCTCCTGGCTCCTAGACTATTTCGATTGGCATCACTGACTTCTGGCCTCCTGGACCTTATCATATTTACTTTTGAAACTGTATTTTGAGTCTGCCTCCTTCCTTATCTCATCCAAGTCATTCCACTTTTTAACCACCCTGAAACTAGATTACTTCTTTACACCCCTATGGCTCATCTGCATTTTCAGCTTCTACCTGTGTCCTCTTGATCCTGGACCTCTTAATTCAAACAGTCTGCCCCTGTCTGCTTTATCAATTCCTTTTGAGATTCTGTAAGCAGTAATCATGTCCCCCTTATCCTTCTCTTTTCTAAGGTTGTAATGTTCAGTTCCTTTAACTTTTCTCATAGTGAATTCCTCTCATTTCTGGTACTAGGCTGGTTCAAAACCTTTGGTCATTTGCAAGTTTCTTAATGTGCTTCACCAGGTGTGGGTTCCATGCTGGGACTGCATACTTGGTGACTGACTCAGCTTGTCATTTACAATGTGAAGGATTCTGTATTCAGATTCATGAATTCTATTCTTAGGTTTGTCAGTCTTGCATATGCTGATGATGCTATTCAGTTTGTGCATGTTTCTGATGATATTCTTTGTTATATTCACCCCAGGTCCTTCTCACTCTAATACTTGCAGCTTCTCTCTGCCTATGTTGTACTCTCTCCAGTCTGCCCTCACTTCATCTAATTTGTAAGACCTTGCACTTATTTGGGTTGAACTCTTTAAAAAGCTGTTTATTTGATCACATCTAATCTGCTACGGTCTACCTGGCGATTATCACTGTCCTCTCCTGTTCTTATTCTTCTCATTAGTTTTACATCATCTACAAATAGTGACACACAAGTACTTAGTCCCTTCTAGTAAGCTGTTGTCTTTCAACAAACCAGCCATATCCCACAGCTCTGGGAAATTATTCACTTATATTAGGAGCAGTAGTGGTCCTAGTACTGATCCTGGTAGAGCCTCACTTGTTACTCTCTCCTATTCTGATAACTCATTCCCTATTGCTCATTCAGATACTCCCTGACCTACTGGAGTGCTCTGCCTTTTAAACCCTGCTTCAAGAAATACTTCCTGAAATCCTTGTGGCTCACCTGTGTCTTTACTATCAGCTGTGCCTCTGAATACCTGTTTTCCACCTGTAACCTATGAATTCCTCTCGAGTATTTTTTGTTATTTGCTAGGCATGTTTCATAACGTGTTACATTCTCCAAGATGGGCCTGGCATATGTGTGTGTGTGTTTGTATATACAGCTGCTCCTCACTTAGTGACGTACTCGTTTACTGATGACTTGGACTTAGGATGAGCTCTCTGACCAGTATACATACCTAAATAATGTATATTGAGCTGATTTCCTCTGTTCTGTTTATTACAATATACAGTACACTACTGTATAAACATTTAAAAATATACCAGAAATATTATAAATGGTGCAAAGATGACATTAAAACAATATGAAAGATGGTTGATACAAATCCACTACCATTATAGTATGCTCCTCACTTAGCGCCGAATTTGTTTACAGACGTGGTCTCAGGAACAGAACTCCGTCGTTAAGTGAGGTAGGTGTGTGTGTGTGGGTGGGTGGGTGTACTCACTTAGTTGTGGTTGCACGGGTCAAGTCATAGCTCCTGGCCCCCGCCTCTTCACTGGTCGCTACTGGGCCACTCTCCTTGCGCCATGAGCTTTATCATACCTCTACTTAAAGCTATGAATGGATCCTGCCTCCACTACATCACTTCCCAAAACTATTCCACTTTCTGACTACTCCATAACTGAAGAAATACTTCCTAACATCCCTGTGATTCATCTGTGTCTTCAATTTCCAACTGTGTCCCCTTGTTGCTGAGTCCCATCTCTGGAACATTCTGTCTCTGTCCATCTTGTCAATTCCTCTCAGTATTTTATATGTCCTTATGTCCCCCCTCTCTCTCTCCTGTCATCCATTGTCGTCAGGTCGATTTCCCTTAACCTCTCCTCGTAGGACAGACCCCTTAGCTCTGGAACTAGTCTTGCTGCAAACCTTTGCACTTTCTCTAGTTTCTTCATGTGCTTGGCTAGATGTGGGTTCCAAACTGGTGCCGCATACTCCAATATAGGCCTAACGTACACAGTGTACAGGGTCCTGAACGATTCCTTATTAAGGTGGCGGAATGCTCTTCTTAGGTTTGCTAGGCGCCCATGTGCTGCAGCAGATATTTGGTTGATGTGTGCCTCAGGAGATGTGCCTGGTGTTATACTCGCCCCAAGATCTTTTTTCTTGAGTGAAGTTTGTAGTCTCTGGCCCCCTAGACTGTACTCCGTCTGCGGTCTTCTTTGCCCTTCCCCAATCTTCATGACTTTGCACTTGGTGGAGTTGAACTCCAGGAGCCAATTGCTAGACCAGGCCTGCAGCCTGTCCAGATCCCTCTGTAGTTCTGCCTGGTCCTCGACCAATTTAATTCTTCTCATTAACTTCACATAATCTGCAAACAGGGACACTTCGGAGTCTATTTCTTCCGTCATGTTGTTCACAAATACCAGAAACATCAGCAGTCCTAGGACTGACCCCTGTGGAACACCACTTGTCACCACTGACACCTCACCATGTACCATGACTACTGTGTTCCTGACAGGTATTCCCTGATCCATTGTAGTGCCTTCCCTGTTATCCCTGCCTGGTCCTCCAGTTTTTGCACTAATCTCTTGTGTGGAACTGTGTCAAATGCCTTCTTACAGTCCAAGAAAATGCAATCCACCCACCCCTCTATCTCTTGTCTTACTGCTGTCACCCTGTCATAGAACTCCAGTAGGTTTGTGACACAGGATTTCCCGTCCCTGAAACCATGTTGGCTGTTGTTGATAAGCTCATTTCTTTCTAGGTGTTCCATCACTCTTCTGATAATCTTCTCCATGACTTTGCATACTATACATGTCAGTGACACTGGTCTATATTTTAGTGCTTCTTGTATCTCCTTTTTTAAAAATTGGGACTGTCTTCCATACCTCAGGTATTTGTTGTCTTCCGTACCTCAGGTAATCTCTCTTGTTTTGATAGACGTGTTGAATATTGTTGTTAGGGGTACACATAGCGCCTCTGCACCCTCTCTCTCAGGACCCATGGAGAGATGGTGTGTGGGTGGGTGGGTTTTTTTTTTTGTTTGTGTGTGTGTGTGTGTTTTTAGTTAGCAGTTGTGTAATGTTGTGTGTGTGTGTGTGTGTGTGTGTGTGTGTACACAATGGAGGTGGAGAGTTATTGTAGATTCCAACTCCCTTATTTTGTTCATTTCACCATAGTGAAAGATATAGTTGCATGTGTAACCATGATCACATCATTGATTTTGATGATAGCAAATTATGGTAACATTTATGTAAGGAGGTAAATTGTAGAGTCCATCTTAACTAGGTTCTACACTTCAGTTTGAAGGACAGTTTAATTTCATCACAGTAATTCAGGTTTAAGTCATTGGAAATTTCACCAAAACACTTGGTAGGTGGGTAGTGGGGCGATACTTTTTTCATTCTTTGCTCATTTCGGCTGTAAAGGCCATCTTAAATTGGCACAGTAATACTGGGTACAGGTCTTTGTTAATAGTTGTTTTACTAGTAAAAGATCAAGCTTGTATATGGGAAAAAACTGATGAGACATTGTAGGAGTTATAGAAGGATACATGGTGAAACTGAGTTTACATGGTATAATTTTTATAGACAAGGTTATGGGAAAAGATATAGCACATTGATTTAGGAAGTGAAGGGGACATGTGAACCAGATGTTTGCACTTATCCATGTAATTGAACAGTATGTGGAACCTTTACTTACGAGTGCATCCACGTATGAGTTTTTCCAGATACGAGCAGTCGCCCGTTCGATTTCTTGCTTCCAGACATGAGCGAAATTTCCAGATGTGAGCAGGCCTCAAGGGAGGTTCCTTGACGCTGGTGAGGAGCTCTTGCTCTTGATCAAAGGAATTGGATCTCGTGTTTATTGGACTATGGAGTTCACTTCTCAGCCATTAGCCTCCCTTTAGTGGTATATTTTTGTATGGTTTTAATGGTTGTATTCTCGTTTTTTTGGTCTCATTTGATAGAATGGAAGATATACTACAGAAATAGATATTATTTTGAGTGGTTTCACAATGAAAAGTACCTTGAAATTGAGCTCAAAGTAGCAGAAGTGTTCGATTCTTTCGTAATGTTCAAGAGTAAACAAATGATGTCACCATCCAATACCTGTCCAATTGGCACTGCCCCTCAACCTTCACATATTGGAAAGCTCTTCAACACGCTAGCAAAAGTGGGAGTAGAAAATGATGCACAGTTGGCAGATAACATGAAGCAACATGCAGACATCAATGAGTAGCAGTGGCAACAACATGAGTACATAGCAACATCATGAGGTAGCAGTGACAGACAGTGATGAGTAGCATGTTCAGACAACAAATGCAAGTGGCAGAATCAAAAGCCATGCAGTGGCAAGACATCATGGAGGTACTTGCAGACATCATGGGGCAACAGTGGCAGACATCATGAGGTAGCAGTGGCAGACAACATGAAGCAGTAGTGGCAGAGAACAAGAAGCAGCAGTGGCAGACATCATGAGGTAACAGTGGCAGACATCATGAGGTAACAGTGGCAGACATCATGAGGTAGCAGTGGCAGACAACATGAAGCAGTAGTGGCAGAGAACAAGAAGCAGCAGTGGCAGAGAACATGAAGCAGCAGTGGCAAAGTGTAGCATTAAGAGTGTAGCAATTAAGTGAAGCATTAAGAGTGTAGCACTTATA